CTGAGCTGTCCACCACTATCTGAGAGGCTATTGGTCAATTTTCCAAAGAGAATGACTTGTATTTCACTTTAAAGGACACAAGGTCTGTATGCCAGGCAGCACCTTTAAAGAAGGAGGGTATCTTTGTTTCTTAGTGCTTCCGTAAGAGAAAGAGCACAAATGGGTAGCCTTAAAAAACAAATTTATTTTCTCCTCATTTGGGAGGCCTGAGTTCAGGATGCTAGTTCTAGGAGAAGGTTCTTTCCATCGAAAGTGACTTGTTGCTTGTTTGTTGTTAGATGCCGTTGAGTGAGCCATGGCTCATAGCAACCCTGTGAACAACAGATCGGAACCTCTCCGGGTCCTGTGCCAGTCTCATGATCTCTGTCCTGCTCAAGCCCATGGTGGGAGTCTAGTCACTTCCCCCAAACTGATTATTGTTGTTACTGTCGTTGTTGAGGCAGAATTGACTCATGGTTGACCATCCTCCAGGAGAGGCAGTGAATTGCAGGGAAGGAGATTGCCCATCTTTCTTCCATGGAGGAACTGGCGGGTTCAAACCGCTTTCCTTTGGGTTGGCGTCATAACTCCTTACCACGAAGCCACCAGGAGTGACTAGGCACCTGTTAGAGCACTGATATGGCCTCACATAACCAGTAAATCAAACCTATTCTCAAATGGGATTGCACATGTAAGCGTAGGGGTTGGAATTTACGACACATCTTTTTTGGAGGACACAATTCAATTTGTAACAGAGGGGACAGGTGTCACAAAGGAGGAGCAGTACTTGTAGGCTTGGTTCTATTCTGCAGAACTGGGTGGGGCTGGCAGGAAGCACCCAGAGATGGACTCTGGCTGCAGGGCAGGCAGGTCAAAAGCTTTAGAATGGTAAACTCTCTTATGGAGAGGGAGCAGGGATCTGTTCAGGAATCCAGTGAAGATCATAAAAAGCCCCTTTGCCATGAAAAGTGGAACCAGACCTTTCCACCAGAGGAGTGGATCCAAACCTCTCCAGTTTGCCTGACACATTCAAGGCAGAACTAGGAAGCAGAAGCAGTGTGTGACTTTCTAATACAGTTTTCAAATGGGGTTGAGGGTGTGAAATGCAAGGCTCTATACCCAACTGATCTGTTAGGGATTCTCAGACCAAGAAAAGGGTTGAGATGCTCTCCCCAGTGGAAGCACAGGCTGTCTGCCCCTCAATAGCTGCATCACAGTCCTGGAAAGGCTTCAACTCTCTGGGTTCTGCCTCCCTGACATTGTAATAAGGGAGGGTAGCCAAATAATGATAGCTTTAATCATTATGCAGTATTTACTGTGTTTGAGTCACTTTAAGTAATCTCATGTAATCCTTACAACAACTCTATGAAGTGAGTATATAATCCTTGTTCTGCAAATGAGAAAATGGGAGTTCAGGCAGATTAAGTAACTCACCCAAGGTCCCTCAGCTAATGAATGGTCAAGCAAGGACTTAAGCTCTTGAGCGATCAGTTCCTGCTGAGATGACCCCAGAGCTTCATCTTTAGTAGGGTCTCAGAGGGTCCCCCAGGCGACTCTGTGCTCCATGTATTATGGCTGTAGGCCTGGCTCTGGGCAGGGGATAGGGGAAGTGGGGCCCTACTGTGCACCAGGAGCTGCAACAAATAGAGAGCAGACAGCTCAGTCCGGCCACTCTGTCACCCACATGTGTGTCCTAACACGTCATTACAGTGTCATTACTGAGGCTGGTGTTACCCTGCCCCCCATGGGCCTCCTTCTGTACCAGACAGGGCAGAATTCTTAGCATCCATTTTAACTATAGAATAATACGTGAATGTATATTTTTCTTGACTTCTTCATTTATACTCATCATGTTCAAAGGGTTTTTTGTTCATTTGGTTGGTTGCTGGTGTCTTTGTTGCACAAGGGCTAAGCTGTCTACAGCCATCATCTTGCTCAGAAGTCCTGATCTCCTTACAAACTTCTTAAATGTCATATGGTCTTTGCAATCACTTGCTGCACATCTGACAGCTAGACAATGAAAAAGGATGTCAGAAAGAGAGTTGATGCCTTTGAGCTGTAGGATTGGGCAAGAGTACTGACTATCTCACGGACGGTCAAAAGAACAAACAGATATGACTTGGAGAAAGTGCATCGGGGCGATAAAGCATTGTCTCACATACTTCAGGCATGTTGTTAGGAAAGGCTATTTCTTGGAAAAGGACATTGTGCTTGGAAAGCTGGAGGGTCGGTGAAAGAGAGGAAGACCCTCAATGAGATGGATTGACATAGTAATTGCAGGAATGGGCTCAAGTGTGTCGGAGAGGATGAGGTTGGCACAGGACAAGACAGGGTTCAGATCTGTTATTGTTCATAGGATCGCTGTGAGTCACACTCAACTCGACAGCACCTAACAGCACAACAATTTAACTGCTCTACAAAATCTTTCCATGTTGTATTACAACATTATTAGTACCTGAGCAGAAGCTTTCTCCCTCCCCAGTTTTTCTCCAATAGACCTGTTGGTGCTATAGCTTAAGCACTGGGCTACTAACAAAAGGGCTGGTGCTTCAAATCCACTTGCCCCTCTGAGGGAGGAAGATAAGAGTGTCTCCTCCTGTGAACACTTACAGCCTTGGGAACCTCACGGGGTAGTTCTATTCTGTCTTATAGGGTCACCATGGGGCAGAATCCACTCAACAGCAATCAGATTTGATTTGGTTTCCCATAATACCACTTCTTTCTAAAAACAGTACTGATTTAGCCTTACAAATACTAATTTACATGAACAGTGGGGAATAAACCTCAAGTTCACTGCCAAAGACTTGGTTTCAACCTGCAGTGGCCCTCCGTTAGATTTCTCCAGTTGTAAGAAAGCAGGAGAAGACTGTCCATCTTCTTCCCCTCGAGCCGCTGGTGGATTTGAACCTACGGAGATTCTTGCCCGACATCGGGCCTTCAGGTTAGCAGGGCAACTCCCAAAGGACGAGGCCACCAGAGGTCCCCACTAAACTGACACAGGCTCACCATGTTGTAACCAAATCAGCAGAGGACTTGACAAGATCATCAATGCAAAAATTCTAGTAGCAGCAAAATCAACAGTGCGTGCTTGTCGCCTGTGCAGATTCCAAGTGTCATTGTAACTGAGCAATCATGGCAACTCTGAAAGGAGAACTCAGCAAGTTCAGGAAGTAAATAGAGTTACTATTAGCATAGAGTTTTCGTTTTGTTTTACTTCTTTATTTTTTTTTTATTTTAATGAAAGTTTGCAGAGACTTTGGATTTCCGTTCATTCATTGTTGCACACTTTCCTCCCTGCCCACCCCTCCTCCCTAAGTTCACTTTTCTCTTTGAAAAGTAAAAAAAAATTCTTTCATTGTTATACAACACCATCACCACCACTCTCAGTCCCCTCCACTATGCAGCTTTCATTCTAGATTCTTTTCATGGCAATGATACCTACTCATATATTCCTCCTAAACAGTTCTTTCCCTCATCTGTTCCAAGGCAGTATTCATTATTTATCCCCTCTTAGTTTCCCCTCTAGCATAGAGTTTTGGTCTTGTGTGTGTGTGTGTGTGTGTGTGTGTGTGTGTGTGTTGGTATGTATAAGCTCTGTCTGAAGGGGAAAAAAAGTTTCTGTTGTTATAATTGACTATGGGGCTATTTTTTTTTCATTCATTCATTGTTGCACATTTTCCTCCCTGCCCCTTAGTATGCTTTTTTGTTTGGAAAAAGAAAAAATTCTTTCATTGTGATACAACGCCTCCCCCCCCACCCCCGCTCAAGTCCACTTTACTATTCAACTCTTATTCTGGACTCTTGTCATGCAAATAATACATGTATTCCTTTTAAACAGTTCTCTCCCTCATCAGTTTCAATGCCATGTACATCAATTATCTATGGGGCTTTTTTTTTTATAAAAATAATACCTTTCTATGGAAACACTGCCCCCAACTTTTATAGACAGTGATTTTGGTGTCAGCCTCTCTGGCAGTGTCACCTGGTAAGATCTGCATCCCCTGTAGCCCCTTGGACATCATAGATTACAGTGCCTTCATTGCACAGGCCACCTTCCACTCAGACACCTGTCTGAACTTGACCTGGTGTGGAGTGTGAGTTCTTGGATGCTGCAAGTGATGGATGTCCTCAGCTGCTAAGCAAGAGATTAGAGAATCAAGTCCAACCAGAGACACCTGGGGAAGAAGCCCTGGTTGGTCTACTTCTGAAAACCCTGTGGAAAGGCAGTTCTTGCCCAAAGTGACGAGAACTACAGCACGTATTGAGGAAGATCCAAGACTGCAGCCTTCAGTCTGGATTACACCTCAACATCAAGAAAACAGAAATCCTCACAACTGGGCCAGCAGGCAACATCATGATAAATGGGAGAAAGGGTGAATTGGACAAGCATTTCTTTTCACTTAGATCCATAGCCAACACCCGTGGTCTCTACAGGCCAGGAATCAAATGATGGAATTCTTGGTTTGGAGGTTTAGGGCCAAGGTTCATGGGACGTCCTAGTCACTTGACTGAACAGCATGCTTAGGGTTTCTGTTCTACCTCTCAGTTTCTTGTGTAGTAACTGGGGTCCTAAAAGCTTGCAAGAGGTCATGCAGGGCACAGTCATGGGCCTCTGTTCTCTGGAACATCAGAGAAAGGAGGAGAGTGAAGAATAAATAGTAAGAAGATGTGGAATATATGGCTAATTGTCTCCATGAACAATTACCCCCTTTGCCAGGACCCCAGAAGAGCCGGATGGTACCTGACTACCGTTACTGAATATTCTGATCCTATAGAAAAGTCTTGGTCAGAAGGGAGGAAAGCAAAACAGAATTTCAAATGTTCATAGAATGTAGACTCTCTGGAGCCATGAAGTTTGGATGAATCTCTGAATGGCCTTGAGGAAAATCTTTAAACCATAAACTAAAAAAATCCCTGAAAGTTTTTAAAAACAAAACTGTAGTTTAGCTTGACTCGTTTAAAAAAAAAAAGTACATCTTGAGCATTCTGCTCTTTTAAAAATAGTCAATATGGAAAGAACCATGGCGGGCCCAACATTCACGGCCAATTTGTACTCCTCACTATTCCTCAGGAACCCCACGTTCTCCCTCACCATCGCCGTGGGCGCCCTGTTCTTCAAGCGGGCGTTGGGTCAGGGAGCGGATATGGTCTACAAGCACATCACCCAAGGGAAGCTGTGGAAACACATCAAGCACAAGTACCAGACCCAAGAGTAGTTCCTCAGCAGCCTCCATTCAGGCAAGAAGGACCAGGTCCACCCACTGGCTCTTTGTCCAAAGTCAAGGCCTCAGCTTGAAGATGATGCCTCAGTTATTCTTCATGGACCACCTTTATCTGCCGGCAAGAAATGGCTTCCCTAACAGACTCTAACTTCTGCTGGTTTTGACATATGTCTCGTCAGAATCATCAGCAAATAAATGTCAATTGTCCTTGAAAAAAAATCGTCAATATGGGGGCCTAGTGGCAAGAAGCTGCATTGCAATCCCAGAGGTACGCGATTTGCATCCATCCACCAGATTCTCTGCTGGAGGAGGAGGAGCAATCTCTTCCTGTACCAGTCAGATCCTATTTAACGGTACACATACATAAAAATAATAATAAAAATTTAAAATTTAAAAAAATCATCTATATGAGATAAAACTCACAACAGCAACTTGAAAGATAAGAACCTTAGGTGTCCAAGGAATTTATGTCAATGAGGATAGAACCATCCAGGAAAGAGGGTGATAATGATCGTGTAACTTGAATAATACAATTGGTGTCACAAAATAGTACCTGTATAAACGGTTAAACTGGTGGGTGTCTTGCTGTATATGTTATTGTCAATTGCTGTTAAGTCAGGACCAACTCATAGCTGACTCTTTGGCAGGTTTTCAGAGGCTGTAAATTGCATAGTAGGAAATTGCACATCTTTCTCCTGTGGAGAGGCTGGTGGACTTGAACCAAGTACATTCAGTTTGGCAGTTCAACTCCTTACTACTAGTCTGCCAATTCCCTTTGCTGTATATGTTGTTGTTGTTTTTAGATGCTGTCAAGTCGAATATGACTTATAGCTACCTTACTAACAACAGAGCTGAACCCTCTCCTGCCCTATGCCATCCTCATGATAGCTGTATACAGTCCTAACAGAAGAAAATAAAATGAAAAAGAATTCTTTTGAGAAGTGCAACTTATAACATAAAATGAACTACTTTAAAGATTTAAAGGTTGCAATTACTATTTTGCCATGCCATGTATCCAATGCCTCTAATTTAGTTTAAGAAAATTTTCTTCATCCTTAAAGAAAATCCTACACCCATTAAACACTATGTCCCCATGCCCATCTCGTCTTACCCACTGGAAAGCATTGCTCTACTTTCTACCTCTGCAGGTTGATCTATTCTGAAGATTTCACCTATGTGGAATCATAACAGTTCCTGTCTTGGACTACACTCTCTGTAGCTCCCTAATTTAGGAACAGGAGCTAATTTAGAAACTGCCTTTGCCTTATCCCCACCCACCACGTTTTCTAAGTTACCCTGTGCCCCCACCCAGTGTCTCTGGGTTAGCTCATCTGTTCTAAGCCATTTCTGTTTTCTTTTCATAACCTCTGTCAGTAGATTAAACATTGACTGCTAACTAATAGTTAGCAATTTGGCTCCATAAGAAATTTAGCAGGGAGCTCTGGTGGCTTAGTGGTAAGAAGCTGTGCTGTAATCTCAAAAGCATGTGGTTTGAATCCACAAGCTGCTTTGCAGAAGGATAGACGCTCTCCTCTTGTGTGATTTACTGCCTCTGAAAACCTGGTGGAGGGTCAGCTATGGATTGGTTCCTACTCAACAGTACACACACAACAACCACCACTTCTGAAGACCATGGATTCACTCAATGACTAGCTCATAATCTAGGACAAGAGACAGACAATCAACAGGCATCAAGTCAGTGGTAAGGCAAAGTTTCAGAAATCCAGGGAGCCCAGAGGAGAGGCTCCTAGCCCAGTTTCAAGTTGAGGGAGATCAGGGAAGGTAATGTCAGATGATTGGAGGCTTGCCACACTCCTCACTCTATTTCCTCAGCACATGTCAGAGTCCCTAGCCCTAGAACAGGGATGAACTAACAAGATGATCAATAAGTTTCTCAGCTGAGAGCAGAAGGATGAAAAACTGTTGTTTATGCAGAAAGTGGTAATAGAGTATCTGAAGACTTGTGGACAAGACTGTCAGCCTTTATGACATATTGAATACATTTCAGTATAGCTGGAAATGGAAGGGTACACCACCACAGGTGGGATAAAACTAGGACTAGGCAAAAATTCTCACCACTAGGCCAATTGGCAGCACCATGATGGACAGAGAAGAGACTGTGGTTGTTAACAGTTATAGTTTGCTTGGCTCCACAATCAACACTCTTAGCACCAGCAGTCAGGAAAACAAAAGACTAATTGCATTGCGTAAATCTGCTGTCAGGGACCTCTCCAGAGTGCTGAGAAGCAACAGTATCAGTCTAGAGACTAAGATGTACCTGATCCAGGCCATGGTCTCCACAATTACTTGCGATGAATCAGAGAGCTGGTCAATAACTAAGGATAATAGAAGAATTGATGTTTTTGAGTTGTGGTGCTGGAGGAGTCTTGAACATACCATGAATCACTGAGAAAACAAGCAGGTCTGTCTTGGAGAGGGTGAAACCAAGTGTCTCCTTAGAGGCTAGGATGTTGAAGCTCTGTCTCATGTACTTTGGGCATGTGGCCAGGAGGAACCGATCCCTGGAGAAGGACATCATGCTCAGAAGAGTGGAGGGACAGCGCAGGAGAGGAAGACCCCGGATGAGATGGATTGACACAATAACTGGGGCAAAGGGGGCAGATGTGTCAGAGACAGTGACTGGTTCAGGACAGAGCAGGCTAGAGAGCTGTTGTACATAGGGTCGCTATGAGTCACAGGCAACTCAACAGCACATAAGTACAACAGTTCATGTAAGACTCACACAAAGGACTTAACTATGACCTGAGTACAAAATGGAGGCACAGGAGGGTTCTGAGTCAATTTGCATGCTAGAAACCCATCTTTCTAATGGCAGTGAGAAATGATGATGGCCTGAACAGGGCAGAAACTAGGAGAACTTGCCAGATAGGTAAAACAGACATCCTTCTGCCCTCCTGCAACCTATACCTCAATGGGGAATGCTGGTACTTACCACATCATTGCCATAATCAAATAACCATTAAAAGGTAGAATTCTCCAAGGAATACTGGGGCTCCAGAAACCCTCCCCAAGGTTAAACTAAAACCTGAGACCTGAACAGGAGTGAATCCATGAAAGTGAGAAGCAAAGAGCTTCCCAGCCTAGACAAAGGCTTTCTGTGAAAGTACTGAACAAAATGTAAGCAAGGAACTGAGAAACAGGCAGTTGGCTGTTGTGAAACATGTGTGGCTGGACATTAGATCAGATGCATCTGGAGAGTGAAGCAGGGCCAGAACTGAAGGGTCCTGTTACACATTTTGGATTTACCCAAAGCAAAATAAAAGTCCTTAATGATGTAAGCACCATTCTGATTTTAAAACTGTTCACTTTCTCTTTTACACTTGTGTGCATATGGCCTTCTTTCTGGGCAGCTCAATTATCTACTTGTCTTGGAAATGGTTTTAGGAATATGAAAGGGAAAAATGCAGAGAGATAACCCATAAATAGAACTATTGAAATAGGATCTATCAGAAAACACTCTTGAAAGTCAATCTTTGATAAGAAAAAAGATATTCTAGGTGTCTTTAACTTCCTCATTAACATATCATAGAATGGATCCTGAAATCTTGATAAAATGATCATAGAAATTCACTGAAGGAAGAGAATCAGGAATAAAGAGAGTCTTGGCTACCATATAAAGAAGGGGTCCTGATGGTATAGGGGGTTAAGCATTGAGCTGCTAACCACAACATTGGCGGTTCCAAACCACTAACAACTCCAAAGGGAAAGGGTGAGGCAGTCATGCTTCTATAATGATTCGCAGTCTTACAAATCCTACTTTTCCCTAGACCTCTGACTAGGTCATAAATGACATTGGAAACCACAGGAAAGATTTCACTTTTACTAGTTCTACTAGGACATTAAGGAGCGCTGGTGGCATAGTGGTAGATAGGAACCTACATTGCAATCTTGAAGGCACGTGGTTCGAATCCACCAGCTGCTCCATGAGAGAAGAATGTGCAATCTCCTCCTGTGCCATTTACTGCCTCTGAAATCCCATCAAAGGGTCAGCTTTGGATCCATTCTGACTTGACAGTACACAACAACAACAACACTTGGTCCTATCCAGTCACTATGAGCTGAAGTGGATTTGATAGCAGCAGCTTTGGAGGCTCAGATCCAGAGAACGGTGGCAGAGATCTGAGAGAAGAAGCAGGTGCAGACAGAAGCCAGACATGCATCAAGTCCTCTATCTCTTGACAGATGTCTTGGAGAGCCCAAGGTGTGAACCCTGGAGGGAGAGGAGTGAACTCCTCAAGGCTCTGGGGGGAGATTTTATCATATACACACTTAAGGATTTAAATATAAAGTAAATTTGATAGTTTGATGTGATTAAACACAACTTTCAAGCCACCTTGAGTTCCCACACAGCTTGAATACGTCTATTCTGTATCTTTATCTGTGGGGTTTGCATGCGAAAGTAACCAAAATCAGATAGATTAGAAGTCTACCAAATTTTTAAAGAAAATGCATTGAACAAAAACAATGCCTCGATTATTGCCTGCTGGTGGCCTAGCAGTAAGAAGCTACACTGCAGTCTCAAAGCCGGGTGGTTTCGACTCTTTCAGCTACTCCAGCAAAGAAGGATGGACAGTGTCCTTCCACGCTATTTACTGCTGCTGAAAACCCACTGGACGGGCAGCTATGGGCTGGTTCTGACTCGATGGCGCATCACAATACCAACAACAACATCATCTTACTCATCAAATATTAAAAGAATCCACGGACCTCAGAATCTATAGCAGCTGGAAGTAGACTGTGAACTCTCCAAAAACCCAGGTGAGCCTACTTACCAATGCCGATTTCAAGGGTGACTATAGAGATCAAGCCATAGGACCTGGCCATAGAACCAAGAACCTTCCAGAAGGAAATGTCCAGAGACACAGATCACAAACAAGGGAATTCTTCCCAAAAAGCAGAACAGGCACTTTTACACAGGCTAACCAAGAATGTTGCTCCACACCAAGAAAGGGAGTTTTCACTTCTGTAGCCTA